GAAAAAAATTATGAATACTGAGGATTTAATAGGAATGGTGTTTTAATTTTCGCAAAAATAATTAATCTTCAGTTTCATTTAAAAATATTTCATGAAGTTCACAGTTGTGATAAAAACCGATTCTCTCATTTATAAGTCTGTATTTTCTGAAATTAATGTAGTTGTCTCTTGGCAACCTGAGCCAAAAGCTTAAGTCATAAGCGCTGCTAATTGTAGTTTCCATTAAAAGCCACGCTCGAACAACTCCCGACTTTTTTAAAGGCCATAAAAAAATTTTTACTGATAATAATTTGATTAATTTTATTTACTCTTGATTTTTATCAGAGTTTACTGCGAGTAGTTTTTAGTTCCCGCAAAATATGAGCATGAATGTCGGGAATAATTAAATAAAACAGTTGATGGGTTATATATTAGTGAAAAAGAAAAAAAAATTTAAAACGCTTGATAAAATAGTCAGATTTAGTGGAAAATATTTGGACATTCGAAATAGAGTATTACTCCGTGGAAAATAAATATAAAAATAAAATGTAAATCCGGATTTGGTTCAGATTGAGATTAATTTTATGGGTACAAGTTTTATGGATTTTCCGATAATTGGTGTTGCCTTTTCTACCATTGAACGACTTGTCTCTCGATGAATTTCTCCGTGAATCAAAGTAGTAATTTCGTTGGACATACAACCGATATTCATAGCTATTGTACACATGTTTTTCTGCTGAAACTCAGCTTTATATTTAGGGGAAAACTCAAAATATATCACGCTGCAGATGCCCCGTTATTAAAATTTATCGAAACTAATAGTTGCTTTTCCTCATATACATCCTCTGTAACTGTACATACGTCTATACAAATGTGCACTATGACTATGAGAGTTCTGTTCAGTTAATGTTTACGTCCACTTCAGCTTTTATTGATCAACTACCAAGACTCGACATGGACATTACGCTTCATTGTTATATTGCATTGTTCTAGCATTTCACTATCGGCTTTCATTACCTTAATTAAATGCTGCGATACAACTAATTTATAATTATCGTCTTATATAATTGAATAAAAAAAAGAAAATGATTTTTAATATCCATTATAATTGAAATATTATTAAATAGTTCAAATTTTTACGCTTGATTTATCATCAATTGCTTAAATTTAAAATTCCAGCTAAGATATTAAGTTAAGAAATATGAAAAAATCATGAGACCTTTTTTGTAGTAAATTAAATTTTCCATAAAAAAGATTCTTATCACTTTTTCGTATCTCGCTTCTTTTCGACATAATAATTATTTATAGTTGAAAACTAAATTTTTTGACCAAAAGTAGCAACAAATAGTCTGCTTAATTTGTAAGCTAGTAACTCTCTTCATTAAGTATGTTTAACCCCTTTACCCATTCAGGATTAAATGCTCGTTAAATCCCATTTTAAGTATGTTGAGAGTATACTAAATACAAAGTCGGTAGGTCTCGTAGTTTTAGAAATACAATGAATCAAAAATAAGCTTTTATATTTATCATTAATAATCATAAAAGCTTTAAATGTATGTCAAAGGGTTTTAATAAAAAAAAAGATACTTTTTCATTACATCGTGACTCGGGAGTAAAATTTTTATTTGTTCGCCTTTAGTAAATATTTAAAAAAAAAACATTAATAAATAGGGTATTAAAAACAAAGTCGATCATGCGAAAAGTTAAATATTCTCTTTAACCATTATACGGAAAATATTAAAAAGCTTATTTATATTTCACGGAGGCGAGCATTCAAATTTCGTTTAATAAAATTTTTTAAAGGGTAGAAAAAATGATTAAAAATATTTGATAAGAAAGATAATCTAAAATCTCAAGATAAGACACCGTTAGTATACTGTAGAGTGATACTTTAAATGTATAACCATAATCGTGGATTTAGTAATTTTATTTGTGTCTGCACTCTGTATACATGTACACAACAGGAGAAAGGGGAGGGCTCTTTTATCTTATATATTTGGAGCATTGGAGAACGTCACGGTGCTTTACTTGGAAAATAAAACCGATATCCACTTTTCAGAGCTGATCCTATAACGAGATTTAAACGGACAGAACGACAGGCTTTTTCGTGGCATTCAAAACTTTTCAATAGGATTTCCAAAGCATTTACTGCTACAACCGAATACTTTTATGCATCATTATATAAACTAACAAGGCCGGCTCCCACCCTCGCTATATATATATAATATACTTGATGGTGTAGGTGTGTATAGATAGAGAAGAGCGGCATTATGTGTGTTTGACGATAGTCCTCGTTATCCGTCTTAGTATCGCAAACTTTCCGCCCTCAGTTGACACTTAACGTTAAAATGTTTTTGCGAAATTTCGTCTTGCAAATCTACTTTATCTTCCAACTCGGATCTTCTGACTTACATCGAGACTCTCACATATAATACATATGCGTCATAAATCTCAAATACCGTTCACATTTTTCACCCTTGAATTTTCTTAAAGGAAACTAACCTGTGACAGTTGGATATAAAACCACGTCTATCATATGCTCACGTGTCATATTTGGATTTTATCTATCTTGTTTATACCATCGGTGGCTGGCTAAATTTAAATTTCCATCTCGGGATCAACTATTTTTAGATTGCTCTTAAATGGGACACTCTTTTCTCGGGATTTTAATATTCATTCGTTGGGTTTCATGTCAAGTGTTGTTATTATTATTATTAAAAAATGTCAAATTTATAATAAAATAATTGATTTTTTATTTAAATTAATATTCTGTTTGGATGATCGAAGATACGAAAAAATGTATACAGACCTTTTTTTTATAGAGAATTTAATTTTTTACAAAAAAGTTTGCATTCATTTTTTCGTATCTTTTATTTTTAAAACAGAATATTAATTCATAAAAAAAAATAATTATTATTATAAAATACGACAAAAAATGTTTAATGAAATAAAAAAAAAAATATTGTATTGTTTTATTTTAATTCTTAATAATTTTATCTTTTGTCAAATCAAAAAGACAGTGCGTATAAATTTCGCGAGGAGCTTTTACTAAGTCCGAGATTAGTCGAAGATTAAATTGATACCAACGCATTATTCTCGAGCGCACAATTAATTAAATGGAAATTCTTCAATGGATTATAAAATTATTAAATTATAAATCGCCTTGAATTGTTTATTATATTATAAAAAAAATTCAATTTTTCCAATGCGATGATAAAAATCAGAGATACATTTTTAATTAAAATATTTACAATCGTAACTAAAAATTGATAATAAACGAATATTTTTTGTATAAAAACCGCAGTCTTTACGAAAAACAGAAAATGAAGAAAAATTAATACATCAGAAACATTAGACCGCTTTTTTTATATTAGTTTGCCGAGGGCAGTAATATCCTGAAATATTTTGTACACCTCGAACGCAAAGCTCCAATTTTTTTTTATTAATAATAATAGTGGGATCGATAAAAGTAGGAAACGAAAAAAAATTTCTTTTTTCCTCAAAGCAAAATTATTTTTCTCTTAATTAAGCTCTAAGGATATAATTAATAAAAAAAAAAAACGATTTTGCGCATTGAACAGAAAAAGGGATTTCTTTATTAAAAACAAAAATTCCTATATTGAAAATAAGCTTCTTTTATTCCTGCAACATCTTGATCCTGTCGAACAACAACCAATAAAAAGTATAAACCGAAAGTTTAATATTGAAACACCTCGTGGATATTAAGCAGATTTAGAGCTCAGAAATTATTAACAGTACAGTTGAGCTTTAGTTTTCTCCATAGTTCAAAATTTGCGGACAACTAAATTATGCTGATATAAATCCTTCAAACAACATTAATGAGAGTTTCTTTCATAGGATTCAATTCGATGGATATTAAGATGGATTTAAGTTACACAGCTCTTTTTCGTTAAATATAAAAAAAAATCTATTTTTTTTTTTTTTTCCAATTCGGTTATCTTACACGGAGAATTAAGTTTCAATGCTCATTATGAAATCTCTAATTTGATTCCAACAAGTTTTATAATTATTTGTTGCAACGAGTAACTTAATGGCGTAAGCTGATACTGAAGTACAATTTTTTAGTATCAATCCTCATTGTGAGATTGACTTCTGTTCAAATTACTGAAATGATCAATAAAGGTTTTTTTGTATTGAATTTAATTTTAAAATGAAAAAAATTTAACAATTCTTGATTTAGGAATTTCTGGATTTATCCTAAAAAATTTTAATCTTAAATTATGGCTCAAATATTAGAGATACGAAAAAATCATATTCAATTTTTTTTGTAGAAAATTGAATTCTTTATAAAAAAAAAAGTATCAATCAATTTTTTCGTATCTTTCTTTCTTTAGCCAGAATAATACTTTAAAGTTAGAACTTTTTAAATATCTTTTTCTACAAAATTAATATTTTGACAGATTTTTTTACAACTAATTTCCTCTGAATTTATTTTCCCAGCCATATTATCTCATGTGTTTTATTAACGATTGCCAGGTCGGGAGTTCATTAGTAAATAATTGCTCTAATGAGGGAAAGAAAATTGATAGTAAAAGTAAACTCGCCGCTTGACGTTGATTTGTTGAAGTTTGTAAATTAAAATAATAATTTTGGGTTTAATTCTGAATAGAGGAGATTGAAAAGCGAGGTATTAAAGCATCAAGAGGAACTAAACTGTGAAAATAGTACAAACAACAAAAGTTTCCACGGTGAAACTCGTAATTCCGAGAAACATACTAAATCCAGTTTGAGGAATTAGTGAGAAAATCCGACGAGAGAAATCCGTTTGGGGAAAATTTCAATGTGAAACTAATTCCTTCTTGCGAATGTAAAATTCAGTTATTTTATTTCGACGAGCTCGGCTCTGCTCTACATCCAATTCACCATCTACCAGTTTTCCTCTTTCTCTCGGCCAATATTTTATTTTATTCGCTTTAGCAAATATAATTTTTCACTCCTATTTATTTTATTAAACTCTCAAATAATACAATATAGAATGTTGAGTATTGAATAAACTCACCAGAATTAGGTTGCCCGTTGCTATTGGGTCGTGCTGATGGCGCTCCATCCCGAGCTTCAACCTCCAGAGCGTAAGCTCCTTGCTTCTCGCGATCGAAGATCACTTTGGTAAATATTTCTCCAGTCTCACGGTTGATTTCAAAGTAATCTTTTCCTTCATTTCTGTTACTATTTACCACGTAATAAGTTACCTGGATAAACAAACAAACAAACAAACAAACATTTTTATCGCTTCGTTAATTATTTATCAACTCTTGTTTATTCAGTATTCCTACTGATCTTAATATAAGCTCAACAATTTTTTTCCCTTAAGTATGACCATTAAATCTTTAACTTTAATGGCCATTTGCCGTAAATCTTTTAGCAGTGAGTAATAATTTCTGTTTCAGCGTAATGGATTACTTTAGGCCTTTTAATATTCATTCATTTGAGTACTTTATAAATATTTCAACAGGGCTGTTAAATTTTTTTATTACGCTATTTGAAAAGCTCGGAGTTTATAAATAATATTATCAATTTTACAAAAAACAAGTCAATTTTTGAATAGAGAAAAAAAATTTTTTTTAATTAAATATTGATTTTTTAGGGAGAAAAAAAAATTTATTTAAATTAATCTTTTTAGTTCAACTAAATCTTTTTTTTTTTTTTAATAAAATTATATGAAAAATAACATATTTTTTTTTTGTTATTCATTTTTTACACTCCAAACTTTTGGTAAATTACTAAAAAATTTAAAAATATAAAATAAAAAAAATTTCTTTAAAATAAAAAATCTCAATAAACCAACTTTTCTCTCGCTATATCAGTTTAATAAATAATGTGATATGTTTAATGACGTGTAAGGGAGACTTTTCGGGTTCTGCTGACGTTTCGCTACCTCTGCAATTTCCCGGAAGTGAGAGTAGGTCCAAGACTGTTATTATACAGAGTTTAGAAAATTTCTGAGAACCAAAAATAATATATTACACTAGGGAAAAAAAAAAAAAAAATGAACTCGAGAAGAATTCTTGAATCAAGTTAATTTTTTTCAGTGTATAAATATTATATGATGTAATAAAAGGCTAAGGAAACAATTTCGAGTGTGCGTGAAGGAACTTAAATATATATAGAATGAATTACATCGTCAAACAATTCTGAATGTTTCAAAAGTAATCACAAAGTTTGAGGCTCAGAAATTCTTTAGCAAATACTTGGCTTTTATGTTAGCGGTGTTGTTCGCTTTTTAATGATTGCTTGATCAGTAATGTGTCAAAAAGGAATTCAGTGAATCTCGCATCTCGCGAAACCACAATATGCTTTCAAGCATTTGAAGTTTATGAGTGAATTTTCAGAGTTGACATTTTTCGAATTTCTTGTTTATATATTTGCTCTATTGTCGACTCGGAAAGTTAATATCAATTTTCTTCTCTTCCGTTTTGTCGTTTAAATATAATTTAAATTTAGTATAACAATGAAACAAATATTCATCGCAACAAATGGAAAATTTTTTTTAATTAATTTATTGTGCCTAAATATTATTTAAAAAAAATTAAAGAATTTTTCAATTTAAAAAAATTGATTTAGCAAAAAATTCTATTTAAAAGTTTTTTTAAAGAAATTAAAAAAAAAAGAATTTTTTAATAATTTTTTCCTGAAGAGACTTTTCAATTGATTAATATAAAAAATTAAAAATAATAAAATACAAATTATAACTAACAATCTATCAACTAAAGAAGCTCCTTGTATTATAATTAAATTGAAACAAAAAAGAAATAAATAAAATGTCACATCAATTAATTATTAATTTCCACTTTACACCTCGCGATTCGGACAGATGTCTAAATTAGCGGCACTAGACTGTTAAACAAACAAACCGATGGCTGACAATTTATGTCTGAATCAATCGACACTTTGTCGGGGCAAATATTGTTTCCCGGTGACCTGAATGCAATTAAAACTCGATAGCTTTGTAATTAAATGAAACAAAAGGCCAGAAAAGTTGTGAAATTCGAATCGAACAAATAATCAAGATTATTTATAAATTTCCATTCGTACTGGCAAACAGAATTCATCTGGAGCGAGTGGAACTTGAGAACTCGGCTCGAACTTACGTTGAGCGTTCTTGCATCTTCCGGGAACAGGAACAAGGACTGGAAAGTTTTATTAAGAGTAAGAGTAAACTTAGATAAATACCTTATTGTTCGGCGAGGTGCCGTCTTTGTCTATAGCGTTTACTTGTGTCACTTTGCTTCCAACGGGCTCGCCTTCAAGCACAGTTTCCTGTTCACCTTCCGTGAATAACGGTATCTCATCATTAACGTCCTCCAATACAATATGGATGGTTGCTTCTGACGCTAATTGTTGCGCTCCGTTATTCTGAAAATTTTCGCAGGGAAATTGATGTTTAAAAAAATTTTTTTTTAACTTTTTTTTTTCGCGTACAAAGATTTTCAATGCCGTCAAATTAAAAAAATATGATCGCTGCAGCGAAAAATTTGATACTTTGTAAAATTCAATATTAAAAAATTATCTTTTTTTTTTCAATTATCAGTTTCAATTTAATTAATTATAAGGTAAAGTGCCCAGTAGTTGAACAGGTTTCAAAGTAAAACGTATTTAACCCTACTTTTAATCTATAAAGATGTAATTATTAGTTCAAATTAGTGATTTTCATGAAAATATAAACAATTATGAATTGATTGAAATGCAAAATAACGCAAATAATTGAATATTTATAATTTGACTAGGCACACCAAAAATTTTTAACGTTTTATTGAAATATTCAAAGATTTATAACATATTATTGAATAATATTAAAAATAATACAGTGGATATTTAATATGTTCATTTAAAAATGAGAAACATTTGTATTTGATTTTTTAATTACATTTTTTATGATTGACAAAGTAAATTTTCAATTATAAATCAAAAAAACTCAATTCAAAACGTTCAATAATTTTTAACTATACTAATTTTTAGTTATAAAACTTATTTAATTTGCAGTAATTAATACAAATCACAATACTGATCACTAGTCTATAAACCTATTGAAGGTTAGAGTGCTGTTAAAATTATATGGTTCCAGCTTGTTCAAGTTCTGGGTACCGCTTTGAAAATTGGGAGGTATAGTTGAACGCTAAAATTTAATATAAAAATTATAGTTTATGTCTTTGCAAAAAATATGTATTATTGAGAAAAGACTATTTCATTGGGTGGTACAATTTTTTTCACTTAAAATTATGATATACCGTTTTTTTCTACTGATTGTTCGATTTACGGTTTAGTACCTTTTTCATGAAAAAAATAGCATCTATCGGTTATTCTCGACATGTCAACTTTAAAGTTAACAAAAATGTAATTGTTTTGATTTATAATTGAAAAACTTACCAAAATCAATTACTATATCATTGAATAATTATAACATGCGCATATTACTCATAATATATATACAGATTTTGTATTACAACAATTCTAAAAGTCTGTTCAACTACTGGTCCCATTTTTAGAAGTGTTCAAGTACTGGGTACTTTACCTTAAGTCTAAATTCGGAACTTTTTGATAAACTTTACAGATATAAAATAAAAATTGCAGTCAAATAAATTAATATTAAATTAACTATATTAATTAATTACCGTCAATTGATAAATTTTTGAATTGATTTTTCTGTAGCGATCATATATTTAAATAAAAAATGAATCTAAAAATTACCTCGACTCTTATCGTCAAATTGTACTCCTTTATGCTCTCGTAATCGAGCGGATGATTGACCTTAATGTCAGCCCAAGTGACATTGTCCTTGGAAGAAGTCTCCGAGCGTTGTTGTAAATAAAATGTATGAAATTTGTTTGTCTGGGCGGTGGAGCCGGGCATTAAGTGGTAAAATACCGTCGGGTTAAGTTCGATCCCCGAGCTGTCGGGCACACAAGAAAAATATAAGTCATGGATGCCCTCGAGCGTGTGACCCGTTGAGTCACCAAACGGGCCGCGTGATAACGAAACGGAAACAGAAACGAGAACGGAAATTTCCCTCTAGACTCTATACTTTATTAATAATTAATAATAACCACTAGCCCTTTAATTAATAATATAGTAATAATTAATAATAATAATCATTAATATAAAACTATGTGTGAGTATGGCTTTAACGAAAGATTCCATGCGACAATTTAATTAAAAATATATGTAATAATATATATATATATTTACCAAAACTTTATCTAATATAGTTAAACATCTAATTTTTATTTAACCTAACGCACACCTTGCAATTCTAATTCATCACATTTTTGCTAAGCAGTTTAACTTTACTCTAATTACTCTTCTATTTTTTATTCATTAATTTTTATTTTTTGTTCTCGTTTTTTTTTTTTTTTTTTTTTTTTATTTATTTATTCATATTTTTATAACTAAAAAAAAAAATTATGCTCTCGTTATCGTTTCTCTTGTCCAATTTAACGTCCCCTGTGACTCTAGTGGTTCCTAAACACACTCGCAGGCTGCATTTTCCATCAAAAAAAAGATGCGTGTCTTCTAAAAATTTAAACTACACCGTTCAAATTTAAAACAGTCCTAAATAACTTCCTCCCTGTTTGTGTGAAATGAAATTCAAATTTAATCGACTAAAAAATTTATGTCCGAATTAAAACAAAGTTAATATTTATTTATTATTTTTTTTCAAGTGCAATTAACTTCACAGATTAATTTTAACAGGCAACTAAATGCAGAAACGATGAATTAATAATTAAATCTCGGACACAAATAACCGCCCGGTAACGAAAAAGGTAAATAAAAATGAACAAATAAAATAAATAATGCGTGTATCAATAGTGTGTGATTTATATGTTAGTCGCTTAAGCGTGATTCCACGGTAAAATGCGTCTGCATTTGTGCGCGTACGTGTACACATTATCTATTATCAATATTTGCCTCATATTTTATTGTTTGTTTTGTCCAAAAATTTATTTTGCTGATTAGTTATAATTTATGATAATATAAATATGTAACATTATATACAGTTAAGCAATTAGCCGGAGATAAATTTCCGATAACGGGAAATAATTTTTTTTTTTTTAATGATCAATAATTTTTTTATAGCTGAGAGATAGACATATACCATAGCCCAGGTTAGAAAATTAGACGGTGCTTCGGAAAAATAAATTTTTTGAGTTATTCCAAAATCTGTGCCGCGTGGTGATCATACGCACATTAAAATTTCGCGTGTGTTTGTTTGTGCGCGTGATATTAATATTATTTGTTACCATACATTTATTAGCATTTATAAATTTTAATTAAAAAATCTATAAAGTAACAATAAATATATAGACAACTATAAATGCATCTCGTGACTCCCTTCATCCCAAAACCAAAACCTTCTGTTAATTTTATTAATTAACGTGTTGTGTGTTTGTTTGTGTGATGTTTGTTTATGAGTTCGTGCATTTATTTTACCCGTTTTTATTTTTATTTTTATTTTTTTTTTTTTTTTTTTTGATGAAATATTTTATTTTTTTGGCAATTAATAATTGATATTTATCTATTGAATTTTTGGCACTGATAAAAAAAAACATTCGCGGTTTGCAAAATATTTTAACGGGTCTAAAATTTTTTAAAACTCTACGATATAAACCAACTACGGCCTCGAAGACACTAAACTCAACGCAATTGTAAGCAACTGACGAAACATGCCCAAAAATCAATTACGGCATTCAAAATATATATGTTCGACGTTCTATACTTGATGCAAGTCTCTCTGCAAAAAGGTAATATAACAATTTTTTAACAATAAATTATAATAATAATTGTAACAATATATAATTTTATTCAATTTCAACTAAAAATTTTAAGTCAAATCAAAGGGCTCAAAATATTAAACAAAAATTTTACTCGCATCAAAGTCGGCTACTCTTAAGGCATTCTTTTTAAAACAATACTAAATTATACAAATTATATATTAACCGTACCGACAAAATTTGGGGTACCTGTCATTTATTTTAGAAATTTTTTCTGTTTAAAAATGTTCAATTTTTTTTTTTAATTATAAAAAAAATTTTTGAAGATAAAATTTAGAATTACTGAAAATTTAATTTTTATTTCAATTTTTTAGTTTTTGAACATTTTTTAAACGCATTGATCCCTTGGAAAATATTCCAATTAAAAATATCTTTGAGCTAAAAATATCCCATGGAAAAATATCCCGTGCAATAATAAATATTTAACAAGACAAAATGCATGCAAAATAATTTCGGTTTGTATTTAATTTGGGAGAAAATAAAATAGAATTTTTTATCGGGAGGAATTAAATTCAGTACTTTACAAAGACACGACTATGCCTTTGCCAAGTGCGCGTCGATGTAAAATTAGTCGTAGAAAGTAATTTTGAAAAGTTCAAAACTTAATATCAAAAATATAACTTTGGAAACTGAAAATAAAAACAAGGGATATTTTTTCCAAAAAATTATATAAAAAAATAACATTGCCATAATCATGCACGGCCAAATTAAATCATGGGACAAAATTTAGCAGATATTTTTAAAAAATTGGAACAATTACTAAAGGGACATAATTTCTAAAAATTTATGACCGATTACTAAAAACTCAGGCACGTGAATTTACAAAGTAAACTGAACAATAATAATGGTAAATAAAAATAAATTTTGAAAGATGCCAATCATTACGAACAAATAAATATAATGATAATAATATGTATGATAAAATATGGATATCAAAAGTTTAAAAAATCAATTAAATGGGAATTTTCAGGAAGCATCTATGTTGAAGCATGCCCAAAAAATGTTTACGGCACACATATGTATCGAACTAGGGAGTATCAAAACAATAACTATATATTTATTAATATATATATTCTTACAAATATATCGTACTAGAGCACACATATTTGGAAAACTTAACAATTGATAAAGTATATTAATTTTTTTTGGACTTTCTGAAATTTAAATGCTTGCATGGAACATGTTAAATATATGAGCACTATCAAATATATTTGTATCTATATATATATATATTTACTGCAAGTCGTCTGACGCGCGACGAAAACATTTTTTCTAATTTTAATTAAATCTTAGCCTTTAATATCAAAACGTTTTTTATTTTTGTAAATTACTGTCTCGTCTTTTTTTTTTTTTAAACGTGAGCAGGCGGAATCTCATGTCATCGCGGGGAATCGTGACTGCTCACGTGACATTTTTGTTTTTGTAAGAAAAAAAATTTTTTTGTACGCCCAAATTTTATTTTTTTTTTTTTAGTAACCTAAAATCCCAAAGTAAATAATGGAAGCTCCAAATCATAGAATTTATTTGCTGATTATTAATTTTTTTGGTGATAAAAATTTTTCTCAAAAATCAGAAATATATTTTTTCCAATTTCTAATTTAATAAAATTAAATAACACAATACAAATAAATTTTAAACAAAAAATTACCTCCAAAAATTTCATACAAAAAAATTTTTCTTCTTGTCTGTATGCATAAATTTTAATAAAAATATCAATAGTAATAAAAATGATAATATTAATAATAATAATAATGATAATAATAAAAATTGATAAAAGACAAAAACATAAAGGCAAGTCTTCGTGAACAGCCACACACCGATTAAAGACGTGCATCGAATTGGAATGTAATATAATTGTGCGTATTTCTTTAATTTTCAAATGCAGTGTAATGTATATTGTTTAAACATATCATATATCATCGATTAACAAATTTTCCGCGGAAAACAATAATTTCATTGAAAGACGAGACTTATCGTCTGTGGTAGTCAGTCTAAAAATAATATCATGGTGTCATCAGTAACTTAATTAAAATTTTTTTGTACCAAATAATAATAATAAGAATAATAATAATAATAATAATAATAATTATAATGATTGGACATAATTGTACTGGAACGTGGTATAAAAAATGTGTATAATGTATTTGTAAGTAAGTGAGTAGAGTAAGAGTATTTTATGAATGTGGGTTTCGTACACAATATCAATTAACGTGCACAAGAACAATACTGCCACGAGATTTTTGCGTGCAGGGCGGGTTCGTGCAGCCGCACGGAGCATTAACAGTGTGACAGACCTGGCTTTAACAGACACAACTTTAGCCCCAACGGCTGTGTTCTCTTTACAGTAGATCGGGCCATACGCAACGTGGTCCCATACGGGCGGATTATTAGCACGGTCCACAACGTCAATCTGAACCTCCACGGTTCGCGACAAGGGCGGATAACCCTTGTCTTGTGCCATCGCCTCCAGCTTGTATGTCTCGCGCTACACCAGACACGTGTTTGTTGGTAAAAAACAAATGGAAAAAGAAAAAGAACGGCGTTAGTCTTTACTACATCCGTCGACAAATCTCACAGACTTATTTATCTCAACGACTTAGACAAATTTCATTTTTATTTATCCATCCAGTCACTCATATTAAATAATAAACAACCGGGAGATCACTCCCAAAAAATAGATCTAAATAATAATCTCATTTTTAAATAAAGTTTATGATAATTTATTCATTTGTTATCAATCGCATCGGTCTCTCGCTCGTGTGAGGACGGAGGCAGCAGCTGGAGGCTGAAGGAGAGACGCCAGGACGTCCCGATCGACGATCGTAGGCACCGTGGCTCTCGAAGAATACCTGTATTCACCTAGGAAGTGTCAGTGTTTCATTTATTTAGCACGTTTTTATTTTTCTTCCCCTTTTTTACCATTTTTTTTTTATTTTATTTATTTTTAGATAGTCCCTAATCTTTACCCTATTGTCGCTAGACAATTTCTGTGTGCACGTACGTGTAAATACATCAATATATTATTTTGTTGTTAATGCTTAATTTTATTGATAGAAAATATTTAAGGAAATTTTATTTTTTATTGGATAAAATTGTTTAATTTTTATGGAGGAATTTTTATTTTAATATCAATATATTATTTTTAATTATTGAAAAAAATAAATATGCAAAAAATTTTTTTACTAATAAATAAATGACACTGAAGTTACCAGACGTCTAAAAATTTTTGATTTTTTTTTTTTTTAATTAAATTACAACTAAAAAGATATTTTTAAAAAATTGCACTTATAGTTTTTCAAGTTTTTTACATGTGACAATTTTTTTTTTTAATTATTTAATTGAAATTTTTTCAATAAATAATTTCTAAAAATTTTGAAATGTCAGCTAACTTCATTTTCATATAAATAAATGGTATTTAAAAATTCCCCCAAAAAAATGTTGATAAAAATTTTCCAATAAAATTCTTCCCTAAAATATTTTCCTCCATAATTATTTTCTTAAAAAAAAAAAAAAAAAAAAAAATAATTATGGCCTGCTTTAAAAATATATTTGATGAATGGGTGAGCTTTCCCAGCCCACCCACACGCCGCGCTTAACCATACGTGCTTTTATCAATTACCTTTACCATTAATCACTGATATATATTTCTAAACTTAAATCTTAAAACTCAAAACTAACTCTTAATTAAAAAACGAAAATAAATAAAAAAAAAAAAAGTTGAACTTAAAAAAAAAAATCGAACAAAAGTAACAGAAAGACGTGTGAGTGTAAGATGCGGATAGTGAGAAAGATGATTTGTTTGTGTGAGGTAAAGATTGAACATTGACAGATCAGATAATAGACAATTAAGAGAGTGAGACAGACAGAGTAGAGAGAGAGAGAGAGAGAGAGAGTGAAAGAGAGTATATGATAGAGTAAGAGTAAGAGAGAGAGAGAGAGTAAGAGAGCACTGCATGGCGCGGCACGGCATGTCTCTTGTCTTGGTCATGTCGTAGCATACAAACCTGGCTTTCACCGACGTCACTACAGTACCCACTGTGACATTTTCTTTGATGTGAATGGGGCCGTATACATTTTGATCCCACAGAGGAGGTTTATTGTTTCTGTCTACGACGTCTAACTCAACGTCCACGTCTGCGAACAAGACTGATGTCCCTTTGTCAGAGGCCCGCACCTTCAGGCGATACCTGTCTCGCTATTGGCAAAACATGGGCCGTCAAGTTACAGGACAATTTTCGGGACCATTTTTATTGTTGTTGGCTGCTGTTGTTCTTTTTTACTAGTTTTTAATATTTTATTTACACTCTAGTCAACCGGCAGTGCCTTCATTTGGGGTTATTATATTTTTTATAATTTTATTTAAATGTTTAATTTACGAAATACGCAAGCCGAAGTCTGGTAGGTATCCCGCGGACTTTAATAAAAAAGATCCCGCGATTGACGAGCCAGATTTCGCTTAGCTCTGCAACACTCAAACGGCATTTATTAATATCTTAATTATTCATTATTTATTAGTTATTATTATAACATCAATTACGTAATTAAAAGTAGGTAGTGAACGCCGCAGTTTGTTTAAGCGACGTTAGGAAGAATGATATATATGTATATTTCTTTTTTTTTTTTTTTTTTTTTTTTTTTTTTTTTTTTGTTCATTGATTGATTCATTGATTAATTTTTTTGATGATTAGAATAATTACTGATAATTTTTAGTCTACAATACATATATATCGTGTAGTGACAAAAAGTTAAATACTGGTGCTGCTACTTATCGATAGCGGAAAAAATTATTGTGCAATACAAATTTTCTACTGTACACTGTTTTGTTTTTATTTATAATGTATGTTTTTTTTTTTGTGGTGTGGAAAAAATTTTAAATTCTGTGAAAATTAAAAAATTTCAAAATTTTTTTTTTTTGAGGGTTTTCTTAGATAAAATTTTTTACTGGTTCAAAAACTAATTGAAAGTTTTTTTTTTTTTTATTTAAATTTAGAATTTTTACGATAAATTTGAGATTTAAAAATTGTTCTGATAAAAAATATTTTTTTTTTTTAAGAGAAAAAATTGAGAATTAATAAAACTTTCCACACACATGTTAACCAAAAACTAGTTAATAATATATATGTATAAATGTATACATACATATATATAAATGTTTATATATAATACACAGCTATGACACGATGGATACCTACGCAGCTCAGGCTGAGCGTTTGTAACAACCAAAATTTGAATAACCAAAAAAAAAGAACAAAACAGAACAAAAATAAAGTAATTTAATTAATAATAATAAACTAAACCGCGTCATAATATATAACTTTAAATTCATAAAGGTTTATTAGTTGTAAAACTTGTTAATTTTATTAAATTAGTTGGTCGACTTAATTTACAATTTTTACATTTTTAATTATTTTATCGTGTATTTATAAATATTTACAGTGAAAGTTTTATAACTAATTAACCTTTTTGAATTTTAAGCAGTGCTCCAAGTAATTAGAGCAATCACAGAAAAAATAATACAAAATATATTTTTAACAAATTTCAATTTTTACAGAAATTTTCAAAATTAGATTCGAATTTATTTTTAAATTTTGTGTTCAAATTTATTGATAATAATTTTTTTTAATTTTTCTCATAAATTTAATTTAATTGTAGAAATTTATGATTTTATTTGTTTTAATTTTTTCTGTGACGTAATTAAAAAATAAAACTAAATAATTAACTATTATTTTTGCTAATTTTCAAGACTTTTTTTGATCCAAATTTGAAAATTTCATAAAAAATTTTTATCTTTGAACATTTTCACCCCAAAAATTTTTAAAGGGACAAAAATGCTCAATTAAATAAAATTCAAATTGGGATAAAAAAAATCTTCTAAAAATTTTTAAAAATAATACTTCACTAATGAAAAAAAAAAAAAAAAAAAATTATAATGACAGTCAAAATAATGATTCGATAAAAAAAAGTTAATTATTGTCGGTTGGTTAATTGAGTGTAAGGAGTAACCTACTTACTGGAGCACAGCCCTTAATGTCATGAAATCCGAAGAAAGAAAATGGTGCAATAAAGACAAACAATAAATAATTAATAACCAAAAAAACTAAAAATAACAAAAAACTTAAAATATTCAACAAGATAAAATCCAAATAATTGAATTTAATCAAAATAATAATTTTCAAAAATTCAAATAAATAACAAATATGAGTATAAGTAAATAAATTGAAAGAAAAGAATAAATAAAAGAAGGCAGGCATCGCATGCAAGCAGAATGCAGAGGTCTCTTTTGGGAGGGTGGGTTGCAGGGCGGGTTTTTATCAGGATATTTTTCAAAATTAAAATTACTCTTTTGGTTACTATAAAAAGGGTAGGATTGTGGATAAGTGTAACTTCTTTCGTTTTATAATGTTAATATTTTGTTGGTTATTCTCGCAACCCCTATGTAACCCTTAGCGACACTCTGGAAGAAAATAATATAATATGCATGTACTTAATCGGTATGCCGCCCCAATCACAGAAGAAAAAATGTCACACCACAAATCCGTACCTCTGTTTTGTCTTGGCTGGTTGTATATTTTATTATTCATTTTATTTTATAGTATTCATGATTAATAATTTGTTGTAATTATTAATAAACTTATTAGATTATTTATTCTCGCTTATTGTCTATCGCGGTGCATTCTAATCACTTGATAATTGATCATTGAGAAATTAAATAAAAATTTGGCTTCCTAGCAGATGAAAAGATTAATTTTTGTGAAATTAATTAGAATTTTTTTTTACTAGAAAAATTTTATTTTGAAAGAATATAATGATCATTTTTTAGTTTCTCGATTTTTTTTTTTTTTAAATAAAAAATAGCAAAATTTACTTTTTGAAATGTTTTTTTTTTTTTCTATAATTCGCTTCAAATTTATAATAATCATGAAAGTTTGTAAAAAAAAAATTTTATTATTTACAAACATTTTCATTGATAAATAATGTCAAATTTTTTATTATTTCTTCAAAATTTTTATTCTTTTTCATTTTTGACAAACTCTAAAAAAATGTTTTTTATTCTTAAAAAAAATTTAATTTTGATATTAATGAATTGAATTATTTTTTTCCGTGAAACTAAAAACTAAAAAATGACAAATTCCAAAAAATTTTTATAAATTTCATCTGTCAGGAACCCAAAACTAACGAATAATAATAAACAATTAATAATAATTAAATCGGAAGGTAGTGAGTGTTGAGGAAATTGACAGACAGAGCAAAGGTGTTGATGCATGGGAGGATGAGTGACAAGACGAGATGAAGAAAGTGAAAGATATATTAATTAATTATATAAAAAGCTTTTGAGAGAAAGACTGAGTTTACTTATTACTTATAATTTATAATCGACTATCATTAATTATCATTAAAATTAAAGAATAAATAATTGAGCGGGAGTTGCTAAAAATAGAGACAATGAGGGTTAGTGAGTATGGGAGGAGCGAGAGAGCGCGATCCTTTTCCTGTAAAGGATTCAAAAAACACACTTAAACATTCTTATTCTTATCCTTATTAGTTATAATTTATAATAATGCAAGCATTTAGATTTAGATGATTATTATTATTATTATTATTGTTAGTTCGTTTGTTTGTCAGATGCACCACAAAATGCTTGGACGTTGACACCGTACGTGGGGCTAAAAATTTTTCAGGTTCCCACCTGCTCCTGGAACGTTCAAAAAACATCACTTCCCTTTGTTATTAATTAATCATTCGCTGTAAGCTTCACTCTTTCTTCAATAAAAACTCTTTTTATTATTATTTTATTTTATACACGCCGTTTTTCATTTATTTACGTTACTTTATTTGTTAGTCATGATTCATGATTATTATTTACTTTAACTCTGCTGTATTTTTATTCGGAGGAGGAGATTCAAGTGGTAGGTTAGTGCACGCGCCATTTTTACGGTTATTTCGAAATTAATTATTCAAATAAATAAATACGGAGTGATCCTTTTAGAGAAAGATTATTTACAATTTTTTTTTTTCAATCTAAAAAATTTCTTTCTTTAAATAAAAATTATTTCAAGTTATTTATTAGAAAAAAAAATTATTTGTAAGATATCAATGTCTATTTTTTCGAACGTTTGATTAAAATTAAAAATTATTGAACTTGAATGATTAAAATTTTTTAATTAATTTTTGCAGTCCTTAAAAAATAAAGTAAATATTTTTTTTTTTTTATTATTAATTTTTCCTTTTTTTCCCAATCCAAAAAAATTCTTAATAGAAACTAAAATTTATTTTTTTATATAAACTTTTTAATAAAAAGGATCACTCAAAATCCTAAAACAAAAAAAAAAAAATAAAAATCTAAAACACCGATAGAAAGAATTAGATAAAAAGTAAAAAGAAAGTACTCTAGTAACTATAAAAAATTACCGAATAGATTGGACGTTAATTGGTAGGCTAGTTTGGATCAGAAAGTTTGGATAACCTGATCGATGCTCGCAGTAATTGCAAGCGGTAGTTAAGTGAAACAAAAAATGAATACAAAAAAATCATAATTAACCAACAATTAATAAACCAAACAGAGAATAAAGTGTGTGTTTCTCAAGATAAAAATAATAAATAAAAAAAAAATAAATGATAGCCCGAATAGGTCGATCGATTCAGGTACGTGAAGCATTTAAGAGGAGTTCAGGCATAGCTAAGTATTACCATAGTGAAACACATTGTGCAGATCAATGGGAATTAAAAATTCTATACAAGTGCCGTAAAAACGAAACTTATTTCGTTGCAGTTTTGTGAATATAATATAATATATATAAATAATTTAAATCGAGTCAAAAACGATTATTATATATAATATTGTATACCCGTGAAAATATTTTCTGCATAAATTATTTTTGATAAAACCACATATGACCCGACATCGCTTGATCTAAATAATTTTCATATCAAGCCATATCAGAGTGTATCAAAAATTTTTTCACGGGTATATAATAATAATAATAATGATAATAATTATAATAATAACAATAATAATAATAATAATAATTAGCAATAAATGTTAGTAAAAAAAGACAATACCGCGATAAAAAAACAGCAAAACAACTCATACTGATCGTGTTATTAGTAACGTAATTTCAACGTAAATTATTCCAATAATTCGGCAGTGTACACTCCAGTTTAAAATATATATAATATATATATAATAATAATAATAATAATGATAATTAGTAATAAAAACAATGTATATATATCTACTATACAGTCTAAAGGCGACTCTGGAATGCGAATGCGCCCGCTACACAATAAAAGCGTGTCCACAAAGATAAATAAATAAATAAATATTAATTACAAAATAATGAAAGTATACAGAATAATAATAATAAATTTCTGGCATAATAAAATATAAAATCTTAAAAATATTTACAAAAGACTTGTACATTTGCTTATGATATATATGTTATAATAATAAGCATCCAAACAATTAATTATTATTATATACTGTACATATATGTAGCTGTTTGCTTGTATACTTTTATTTGTTAGTTGAAAACTGGCTTCGCTTATTTTTACAGCAATACAACGAGCGCCCACGCTATTCCAGAGACCATATTACGTACAATCAATGTTAAATGTACGATGTACGCTGATATATTATATATGATAGATGATGATAATTGTTAATTGCTAAAAGGTTGTTAGTTTTTTAATAATTACCCAAGTAAATAAATACTCACGTCTAAAGCCTTCTTCAGGACGATCCAACCCGACTCGGGCTGGATCTCGAAATACTCCAGGTCTTGGTTATTGCTTGGAGAGCTCAGAGAGTATATTATTGCACCGTTGTTGTCGGCATCTTCGTCTGATGCCGATACTCGCAAGATGTTTGTTCCTATACTTGCGTCTTGTTTTACGTTTTCCACGTATTTCTATGAAATTTTGAGTTAGTGGTTTGATTCATGATAAATGGTTAATTAAAATTTACCTTCAATTTTTTCTTTTTTTTTTTTGGTATGATTTGAAAATTTTATAGATAAATTAAATCATAAATAAAAAAAAATAATGTGATACTTTGAATAAATTAAAAGTTGATTATTAATTACACCGGTACCGAAAAAAAAAAGTTGTCTGTACTTCGGATCGGACCCACCTATACGGATTTTTATTTCGACCCGCTGAATCCGAATTTGAAGTCCGCGTTTGGCCCGGTCACCCTCTAGTTTTAAGTAAAATGCAAAAAACTTAAAAAAAGGCAAAAAATTGCGAAAAACTGCAGTCACAGCGATGAAAAAATTTTTGTGGACTCTGATCAAGTATGATTTTTATGTATTTAAATTTACTGAATCTGAATCTGAACTAATAATTATTAATCATCTAAACTAATAATTATTAATTATTAATCATGAAGAAATTAAAGTTAATTCTTTAAAAAGTACTTATTTAAAAAGTTGATAATATCTTAATTTACATAAAATTATAAATTGAGGAGCTGATTTTCAAAAGTGTATCTTTTCATATTTTAAAATACCAGTTTTCTGAACTTTTAAATACTAATTACTTTGAGAATTATGAATATTTATAAATGAAAATCGAATTGCAGCTTCATAACCGATTGCACTTTATAGCTAAATTAAAAAAAGTTCAATACAAATATTTATAATTGAAGATAACTAGTTTTTTGTCTCGATTTTTTTTTTAATTTTTTTTTTAAATTAAAAAAACAATTACTTTGAATTTAGCTACTAAATATTTGAAAATTGAAGATAAATTTGATCTTAAATAATAACTTCAATAATTAATGGCTGAATCTAAAATTTCTCATACCTGACGATCAAAAAGAGGCGGGTTATCATTGACGTCGGTAATTTCAACAGTAAATGAGCAAACACCTTCTAAAGAAGGTTCGCCCTGATCAGTAGCTTTGACAGTGACTGATACAAATTTTCCGTCGTCTCCTTCACGATCAAACACCTGGATAGAAATAAAAATATGAGAGGCAATTACACAATTGTCCAGTCAAACTGACAATGACTGTGACAACAAGACAATAGTCACTAACAGTTTAACAACAATAATAATTATAAATAAAATAAAAATTGGACGTACTTTGTTGGTCGAAACTTGACCAGTTTCCTCGTCAACAGTGAATTTAGTACCTTTCTGATTGGGCTGCTGGACAATAGAATACTTTACTTGTCCATTAACTCCCTTGTCTTCGTCAGTGGCCTGGACTTTAATGACGGGGCTGCCATTCGGAGCGCCCTCCTCGACTTTAGGGGAGTAACTCCCGCAGTCTTTGAAGACTGGCTTGTTGTCGTTAACGTCGGTGATAAATACGACGACAACCGCGGTGCTCGTGTGTATGTTCATTTTCCCGTCTGGGCAGCAGGCCCCGTCATCCATCGCCGTGACGTTCAGCTCGTACTTGTCCCGGTCAAGGGATATTTTATCACCTTGTAGACGAATAACGCCGGTTATCTCCTCGATGACGAACTGCCCGGATGATGTGCTACCACCAACAAAACCAAAGCGTACGTTGTCTCCGTCTTTGTCGGACGCGACTACGGTCGTCACCAAGGTGTTAGGCCCGGCGTTCTCGTCCACATTTGGCGTGTATACTTGCTGGGAGAATTTTGGCTCTTCGTCGTTTTTATTTTTTGTGTAAATTCTTACTGTTGCTGTTCCCGTTTTTGATGGGCTTCCTGTAATTTTTTTCTCATATTAGTTTTGTTAATTTAAATTGTTTAATAAAGTAAATGAAAATAAATTTTTTTTTAAATTTTAAAGTTACAAATATTAGAAAATTTTTTCTACGGGTGTTATTATTGTTATTATTTATTTGATCTTTACAAATTAAAAAATTAATAGTAATAGTAATTTTATTAATTAAAATGAATTTTCAATGATTTTAATTAAAATTTAGTTTTTAATTATAAATTTAAATGTCGAAATAAAAAAGAAATTTTATAATCAACGATAAAAAAAAATTTTTTTCTTAATTTTGGCTAAGGTAAAGTACCCAGTAGTTGAACAGGTTTCAAAGTAAAACGTATTTGACCCTACTTTTAATATATAAATATGTAATTATTAGTTCAAATTAGTGATTTTCATGAAAATATAAACAATTTTGAATTGATTGAAGTGCAAAATAACGCAAATAATTGCATATTTATAATTTGACAACGTTTTTAAGATAGACTATGGAAGGAGTAGTAGTTAAACAATCAATTCTGACAAGCCGTAGTAGTTGAACACTCTGGGAGCAGTAGTTGAACTAATAAAATATATGGCAATAGGCACACCAAAATTTTTTAACGTTTAATTGAAATATTCAAAGATTTATAATATATTATTGAATAATATCAAAAATAATACTGTGGATATTTAATATGTTCATTTAAAAATGAGAAACATTTGTATTTGATTTTTTAATTACATTTTTTATGAATGACAAAGTAAATTTTCAATTATAAATAAAAAAAAAAAACCCCAATTCAAAACGTTCAATAATTTTTAACTATACTAATTTTTAGTTATAAAACTTATTTAATTTGCAGTAATTAATACAAATAACAATACTGATCACTAGTCTATAAACCTATTGAAGGTTAGAGTGCTGTTAAAATTATATGGTCCCAGCTTGTTCAAGTTCTGGGTACCGCTTTGAAAATTGGGAGGTATAGTTGAACGCTAAAATTTAATATAAAAATTATAGTTTATGTCTTTGCAAAAAATATGTATTATTTAGAAAAGACTATTTCATTGGGTGGTACAATTTTTTTCACTTAAAATTATGATATACCGTTTTTTTTTACTGATTGTTCGGTTTACGGTTTAGTACCTTTTTCATGAAAAAAATAGCGGCATCTATCGGCAATTCTTGACATGTCAACTTTAAAATTAACAAAAATGTAATTGTTTTGATTTATAATTGAAAAAACTTATCAAAATCAATTACTGTATCATTGAATAATTATAAAACGCGCATATGACTCATAATATATATACAGATTTTGTATTACAGCAATTTTAAAAGTCTGTTCAACTACTGGTCCCATGTTTAGAAGTGTTCAAGTACTGGGTACATTACCTTAATTAAAAAATGATAGATAAAATTTAAAATTAAAAAAAAAAATAAATTTCCACAAGATAAATAAATAGATAAAATAAATACAGACAGTCATTTCGCTCCTCTTAATCCTTCTCTAAAATTTTCTCATAATAATATAAATGATAACAGTAATAATAATTTTAATAATACCTTTGTCCTTTGCCGTGACGCTGAATTCATAATATGCATTATTATTGTCAGCGTCAAGCTGCTTGTTGTTGACAATAATCCCACTAGAATCCACACTAAAGTGATCGTCAGAAACCAAATATTCAATATCTGCGTTAGCTCCGGAATCCGCATCGGTGGCTTTTACTTTGAGAATACTTGTACCCAGTGGCATGTCTTCATCTACATTGTGGGCTTGGTAGTCCGGCAGCTCGAATTTAGGTGCATTATCGTTCACGTCAGTAACACGAATCGTTAACTGCAAAATACCACAATATATTATTCCACCACTCTATTATTATTATTATCATTGTCATTGTCAATTGAAAATTCAAATGCAAAACTTCTCAAGCTCTCAAAAAATCCAGTAATTAATCCCTGCTAAAAGTTTTGTTATTATAAAATATTTATCACGTCCAGAAAAACGGGGCAAGGCTTCATTAGTCAAAAGTTTGACAATTAATTTATAAAATAGTTCCCTCGTTTATTTTTTCTCTATCTTTTTTTTTGTCGCAGCTTGAGCATCTCGGCAATTTATTTAGATTTTTTATCGCTCAAACTATAAGTACATTTTTTTCTCGACGGTTTTTAGTTAAAAATTAAACAACTCGGAATCACAAAGTGCTTTTTTATGAAGCTTTTAATTAATTAATTTGATATTGCTGAGTTTAACACTATTTTTTGCTTGTACTGTTTTAAATTTAAAAAATAAAAATTTTTACATAAAATTAGATTAAAAAAAATCTTTTTTTATAATAAAAATTAACTCCTTAAATAAGTAAAAAATTTGAACCTTTTTCTGTTTAAAATTCAATCTAAAATAGAATTTTTTAATTAAGTCTTTAATCGTGAATTTCTAAACTACGGTTTAAACTTACCCCAACAGAAGTTGAGAATCCGCCCGAGTCTTCAGTCGCGGTTACAACTAGCGAATAAACATGAGGCTGCCTGACATCTTCAAAGTCCAACTCCTTGGCGAGTTTGACGATCCCAGATGTCGGTCCAATATTGAACGTACCCGCGGCTCCTTGACTCTGAGCTTTCAAGGTGTACCGGATTTCTCTGTCAGCGAACGATTTGGCTTTCACGGATATTATGCTGCAAGGAATTCACGTTCATGTTAGACAAAAATCCTAATTTCCATCATTAAAAAAAAAAAATAGAATTTCTACAATGCGAAGTGGTAATGAAATGACTTTACGTTACTCCTTTGTGCGATGGAAATGTCGTGGAAATTATTTAGAAAATTTTTAATATAAAATAGATAATTTAGAAAAATGAAGTGCTTACTCTGTGTCTTTCTTCTGGTTCTCCGGAATTTCGGTTTCATAAGTGGGAAGGTAAAATTGGGGGGCACGTTTTCCACCGACGATCGATAGCCGTTCTTCAGGCGTCGACTGAAAATGTTTCTCATCTAGTCTTCCGTTCTGATCTTCAGCTTTCACGTACAATACGTACTCCATGTCCAATTGAAAAACATCTGCACCTCGAGTGCGAACTACTCCTGATCGTTCGTCGACCTCGAATCGACCACCAGCTGTCAATTTTTTATGATTATTATTAATGATGATTTAACATCAAAATAAAATAAAATAATTTTTAATTCGATGTTGATACACGGAAAGAACAAGATTACACTAGATAACATTCCAGATTATACTCAGTAACATCTGTAGTTAAAAAAAATTTCAAATAGTAGCTAGTATAATTCCCAAATTGTAAACAGTACTTTACACGCAGGCGCTAAAAAAGAAAATCGCGGAGATATCACTGGGTATAATCCAACATTCTACTGAGTATAATCCAAATTACAATGAGTATAATCTGAATATCACTCAGTATAATCTGGATCATACTAAGCTACTATCTGAAATTTTTTTTCACTACAGGTGTCACTGAGTATAATCTGGAATATTATCCAGTGTAATCTTGTTCTTTCCGTGTAAAGTTTAAAATCCAAATTCTGGCTAAAACATAGAAAATACAAAAAAATCATGTCAGACCTTTTCTGTAGAAAATTAAATTCTCTACAAAAAAGATCATGATTGATTTTGCTTCATCCCTTTTCCTTTCACCAGAATTTGAAGTTTAAATTTAAAAACTGTCATAGAAATTATCAATGGCTTTCAAAAGTTTTAAATTCAAGTTCTGGCTAAGAAATTGGAAGTACAAAAAAATCATATCAGACTTTTTTTGTAGGAAATTGAATTCTCTACAGAAAAGGTTCGATCAATTTTTCCGAATCTCACTTCCTTTCGCCATAATAATAATTCAAAGTTTCTACTATAACAACTGTAGAAACACTGAAAATAGTTAAAGAAAATTTTATGTCTAATTATTATTTTTATTATAATTTTTAAAAAAATAAAATGAATTAAAAAAAAAAACGTACTTCGATCTCTGACAATAAAATAATGAATATTGTGATCGGTATCGGGGTCTCTGGCTTGTAAAGTGAAGACGTGAGTGTTCGGAGGAGCATTGAGCTGTACCACTGCTTGCATCGGCAACGGCTTGTTAATGAAGTAAGGTGACTCATCGTTAACGTCTTTGATGTTTATTATAACTCGTTGATTGTCCGTATCTAAAACCATGTCATCAATTAGTCATCATGATCATCAATTAACATTAAAAGTAACAGCAAATTATTGAATAAAATGGTTTAGTTGCTTTGTTAGATCGTTATGATTATAGATCAGTTAGTGCATTGACTACAGAAAATTTCTACTTACATTGAAGCTCTGGCAGCCATGATTGATGGAAAAATACAAAAATTTCATTAGTGATGTGATGAACTGACTAATTACTAATTTGCTAAGGGTGAAAGTGCGTCCCATTTGAAAAATAAACAAATAAAAAAACTACAATAGAGCCGAAACCAATTTTAATGATGATATTCAAGAGTGATTTTTTTCTAAAAGCTCCAAAAATAAAATTGTACCATGTTTATATCGACATGATTGGGAGTCTGGGTAGATAAGACACCAAACCTCGGGAATGGGACCAATTTCCAGAAAAAAATATAAAATTAGAAATCAAATTAAAAAAAAATACTTTAAATTGAGGATTAAATTTGAAGTTCGATTGTTGTGATGAAAATTTTATAAAGTTTGAAATTCTGGGTTAAATATTGAAAACACGAAAAAATTATGAGACCTTTTTAATAGAAAATTAAATTCTTTATAAAAAAGATCCTTGTCAATTTTTCTAAATCTCGCTCCCTTAAGGGAGGAAATACGTGTAAAGAAACGTTTTCATGCTGATTTTTTATTAATTTTTTTAAGGTATGAAAATTAATGTTATTTTTTGTAACTATCAGGTTATTTTATACATATATTTATATTTTTCCATATTTTACGACAATCTAACTTAAAAAGTAGCGGAGATATCAGCTGATAAACATCGTAGGTTGTCTTCCGACTTAGCCACAATTTTTATCTGAAATTAATGACACAGAAAAATTACTTTTCTTAATACAATTACGCTGAATATGAACCTCCATCATAAGCGATATTTTTATTTTAACTATTTTTTTTAAATAAACAATGTATGAGAAAATGGTAAAAAATCACGATTTAATTTCAAAGCCCTCTAAAAAATGAAAATTTTTACCTTTTCTTTTTTTGGAATTGAAGTTCATATAAAAGATACATATATAAGAAAAGTAGAAGAATATAGAATGTAATTTTATTTGTATCACCATATTTAGTGTTTTACAAAACTGTTACCATATTACATTTATAATAATAATTGTTTTTTGCTCATTTTTCTTTGGTACGCTCTTAGTTATTTATAAGTACACACCACTCTCTACAATACATTTTATTTTATTGCATCCACTTAATATTATTATCTTTAATTTAATCTAGTATATCACACTCCTTACATCTTTTATAACAAATAATAATTTTATACTATACAAAATTACTAGTATCACATTTCTGTTCTAACTCTCATGTAAGAAAAGTAATTTTTCTAATATGCCATTGATTTCAGATAAAAATTGTGGTTTCCATACTGCACACCAACTGCTAAGTCGGATGACAACTTACGATGTGTATCAGCTGATATCTCTGCTATTTGTTCAATTATATTGTTGTTTAATACGAAAAAACACTCATAAATATATGTATAAAATAACCTGATAGTTTCAATAAATAATATTAATTTTTTATACCTTAAAAAAATTAATGAAAATCAGTATAAAAACGGCCTTCTACACGTATTTCTCCCTTTAAGTCAGAATATTAATTCAAAATTAAAATAAAATTCAGTGAATAGACTGAAAAATTTATGAATAAAAAAATATTCTTCACTGAACGATCGAACCTCTTGAAAGTAATTAAAAAAAAAAAAAAATAACTCACTCGCATTATTAATAGTAACCCAAAAGTCAATAGTCTTTTCAGGGCCGAGTTCCTCGTAATCCCACTTCTCCTTGACTCGAACGGATCCATTTTCCGCGACCGTAACCCACTTGTTTTCATCTCTAATCTTATAAGTCTCCTTCTCGGTCTCTTTCTCCAGCGAGAAGACAATTTTACCCTCGACGTCGCCCTCTGATTCGAAGAACTCGACCTTCTTAGTGGGCCGAACTGCACGGGTGACCCGTCGCTTCTGGATCCGATGAACCTTGGGCGTCTCTGGCTCCAGAAACTCGGAGGTCAGAAACCGGATCACCGCCCTCGCGGGTCTCAAAGTGCTCCGAGTCGGTGAGCGAATGTCGTGGGCTTCAATCATCACTTCGACCTCCGAGTCCTGGTCTATAGAATTGTCGGGCTCGTCAGCGAGCACCAGCTCTCCAGTTTGTGGGACGATAATTATCAAGTTGGTCGGCGTGATAAGCTTGTACGCGACCTTATCTCCGTCGGCATCCTTGGCCGTCACCCTCCCAATGGTCTCAAACCTCCTCCACTTGGGTCGTCCGTCTCTCTCGAGGGTGTCCACGTTTATAGGCCTCATTTCGAAACTGTACTCTTCCTGCTCGAATGTTGGGCTGTTGTCGTTCTCGTCGATTACGTTCACGACCCCGCTGATTTTTGAAGTGCTGATAAATGTCGCATCAAACGCGTTTATCGTCACCTAGGGTGCAAAAATTAATTGGGTTTTTAATTAGTTTGCTGTTTTATTTGGGATTTTTTTTAGGAATTTAATTAGTAGGATAATGAGTTTTTTTTTTTTTTAATTAAAAATTGATCAATTTGTTGTTTAAATTAAATTCTTTGAGACTTTTTATTTTTATTAAAAAATTAATTAAAAATTTTTCAGGTTCATTTAAGTGGTGTTATCAATTATTTTTATTTGAATCAATGTTAAAAAATTTAATCATGGAATAATTGATGGAAATTGTAATTATTGATTTAAAATTTAAATAAAAAATGAACTTACTTGAATTTTTAATTAAAAATTTCAATCTTTATTCTATTGACTTGAATTATAAATTGAAAATTTAATAAAAAATTCAAATAATAACTTGAAATAATTGAATTTTCAATTATTATTTAAAAATATTCCTGTCAACACATTTTATTAATTTTTTTTAAGAGATAATTGACTTTCAAATTGATAATTAAAAATTGAATATATTTTTATTAGCAATTAAATAAAAAAAAAAGAATTGAAACCAATTCACCAATTTTAATTTAATAAATCCTAAACTTAAAATGAACAACTCACTTGATAGCTTGATTTGATCTCCCTATCAAGCGGCTTGGCAGTAACAACTCTGACGCCCTGATCAGGACTCTTCACCGTCAAATTAAACCCCGTTTCCGCGGAAGTTTCCTCCATCAATGCGAAGGCTCTTTCGCCATTGTCCTCCGGCTGGAGGACATAATGAACCGGAAAGTTTCCGTCGGCATGAAGGATCGGAAAATCTTCAACCAGAGTCCCAGGCTGAGAATTCTCCATGACTTGTCCGTGACCTAAGTGCTCGTGGGTGAAACTCAACATGTTTCCTCTGTTAATGACAAAGAGATGGACATCGTGGGTCTGGGTCCCGTTGGCGAGCTCCTCGAGCACCAAGAGGTTGATCGACCTGTTGACCAGTGGCGTGAGGTCCGAGGTCGTCATCATCATTCCGTTGTCCAGGACCGTGAAGTACTTTGAAAACCCGGTTTCCAGCAGTCGGTAGTTGGAGGAGTGTCGCTTCGCAGCCTGGAACTTCATCACTTCGAACCCCGGGTAGACGTCATGTGGCACCACTGACACTTTTGAAGACGTCGCTATCGTTAAGGTGGAGAGGAAGAACCCCAGGATTATTGGGAGCCACATTTTCAGGCCGGAAAGCACCGACTTTTTACGGGGGTTCTGCTTTTACTAGAGCATCGATGCAAGTATCACCTGTAACAATTATTTTTCATGTTTTTGTTAATAAAAATGTTTACTAATTGTGAGAAAAAAGTATTAATAATAATAATTGTAATAATAATATGAAAATTTTCAAAGTCAATGCTTGTGAAAAAAATTCTTATGTACACTGAAAAAAAAATTAACTTGATTCGAGAGAAAAATTCTTGAACCAAGAAAATAATTTTGAAGAGAGTAACTTTTTTGAATCAAGACGAAAAATCCTTGAATAAAGTAAAATTTCCTTAAATCAAAAAAAATTTATTAGTTCAAGAAATTTTCTACTCAAATCAAGAAGATTAAGTTCTTCAAAATTATATCGCGTTACTAATGCCAGAAGGGCGCATCTCAACATCTACGCCCTTCTGGCTCTGGTTTATAACATTCAGATCTGTAAGAAAAAGGAATAAAAAAATTTTTTTTTGTATACGCCCGTTTGGCTCTAAGACAAAAAAATTTTAAAGCCATAAGGGCGTATAATTTTTTTTAATCATAATTAATAATTAGCCTTAAAAAAAAAAAAAGTTATAACACCGGTAAAAATAATAACTTTTTAATTCATTTTATTCAAAAAGAATATGGATTTGAATTTAAAAAAACCAAAATAACAGTAACATTCTATTTGAAGAAAAATATATTCGACTCAATTACAAAATTTTCATTTCTATTGACAATAATCATGTCTCTACTGATAAAGTGTAATGAATTATGTTTAATTTTCCAAAATACAAAAAAATATATATATATATATATATATATATATATATATATATGATTATTCCAAGAAAATACCATCGATATTATAAAAATCTGTGCTTTGATGATGGTAACAACGGATAAAATTGTTTAACGATTAAAGTATTTTTTCAAATTTTAGATTTACAAGCAATATATATTTATGATTTTTCACTTTCAGAAGTAAAAAATAATGACAATGGAGACGGCATCGGAGTAGTGCCTAGCTAAATTGATATTTTAGTTTCTTCTATAATCAAATACATATTCTTTTCAAAAGAAATGAGTAGAAGAGTCATTATTTTTACCAGTGTTATAATTTTTTTTTTACGGCTAATAATTAATAATGATTAAAAAAAATGATACGCCCTTTTGGCTTTAAAGTTTTTTTTTGTCTTAAAGCCAAAAGGGCGTATACAAAAAAAAATTTTTTATTCACTTTCCTTACAGATCTATATATTATAAACATTTTTAGGCTAATAGGAGTAAAAAAATTTTTTTTTATACGCCCTTCTGGTTCTGCAGAGCCAGAAGGGCGTAGATGTTGAGATGCGCCCTTCTGGCATTAGTAACACGATATAATTGATTCAAGAAAATTTTTTTTTCTGTGTATTATTACTATTATTAATTTTTTTTATTTTTATAAATTTGATCTTTTTAAAATAATAAAAAATAATAATAATAATTTCGGAAATAATTAAAACTAAAATTAAAATAGCGCAATAGTAAAAGTCTAATTTTGTTAATGAAGATGAATTAAATTGAACAATGGTAGTTCGGGTCGAGAGTAATACAACTGTTGTCTGTAGCAATAACTAAGGGGGAAGCAGTAATAAGTAGCGAGTGGTCCCCACCGTGAATCGAAATAAAAGAAGCTGTCTTAGAATACATATATACTATATATAGTATTGTCATATTGTAATATTGTTATATTGTAATATTAGTAACCCTCCATTCCATTTGATTTGATTCTCGCCTCACTTACGACCGGATGTGAGATCACCCGCGGCTCGTTTAACCTCGACAAAACTTCCCCGGGCTAGTGAGCATCCCACGTACTCTACTTACTAATTGTAACCATATATTGTCCTTGCTTACTTTAACTAAAAAGTGGTACCTTTCAGTCAATGAAATGTTACTTCAATTATATTATTCACAACAGGTCCAAGTATTACCCATTTGCCAGATTTAATTACTAAAATAACACTCTATCCTGTTTTTATAATTATAAAATTAATAATAATAATAATATTATTATTATTATTAAAATTCTTAATGAATTAAATTAACAGACATCACAGCAGATGCGGATAAAATTATAATTCAGTAGAAACACAACACCTCTGTTTTATTTCTCCCTTTAAACTTCTTTCTCTCATTACTTGTTCTTAAGGAGGATTAAATAACAGCTTCAACTGGATCATGACGTTCCTCGAGAAAATATATATGATACATTCATAAAGAATTTTTATTTTATTTAAGTGACTGACTGCTGTTACATTTAGAAGATTAATCAACCAACCGACCGTCCGAGTATTAAATATCAAAAATAAAACACATCATTTATTTATTTAATTATTATTGATAAAAAAATTTTTAAATATTAAGTACAAAAAAAATGATTATGAATAATAAAAAATTGAAACATAAAAATAATATAAACTCATCGCTACTTTTTAAAATGAAAATATGATTAAGCCGATGTCTAATTAAATTTAGTAGAACACTAGGGGAGTTAACGGATGCTGTCATATTTTGCCGGCTAATAAGATCCATATACAATATATTTACATCCACAACTCCGTGTATTTATAGACAGCCATGTGGATGTTAAATAACACAACATAATATAACATACATATACATACAGACAATTTACCGTAAAGAGTCTGGTGGGTGTGAAAACCTATATGACACCCTTTCCCATATTAATACCCAGCTCGCGCGTTCAGCAAGCGTTAGTTTCATTGTGCGTGTTAATAATAGTACGAAAATTTCGTTAAATTACTTTAACTCATTGGATTACGCTGTTAAATAAACTTATAATTAACAGTCATTTTTTACCGAGCGAACATACATAATAATAATAAAATTACGGGAGTTTTCGTCAATTAAAATTTATCGCTATCGATGTTTCAATTTAATTTACTAACAAACTTTGTTTATTTTTATTTTAATTGCATGGATAAATGCTAAATGTTAAATGTTGAATGCGCGCGAAGTTTTGCGTATAATATGTATAAGCATGTGTTGAGGATGTGACGCTCAAATGCCAAAGGTTTAAATCGAAACGGATGCTGCTAAAAATGAACGAGATGTCTAGGCTGTGTATAGAGTGTTATATTATTATATGTATGTGATAGGATTTCAGGCGCCACCCGCATTTATTTGGTTTCGGATCTGATTGTTATCAGACATTGTCGTGCAGCATTGATGGTACGACGGAATTTTTTTAATTTTAATTATTCATTTTTTATTATTGTTGAATATTTAAAAATAAAATTGTATAATTTTTGAAGGAAAATTTTGTCATCAAGATATCAAAAATTCTGAAGAATCACCAAATAAAAAAAAAAAATTATAAAAAATTTGTACACGGAAAAAAGTAAACTGTAATAAATAACAGTCGATTTATAATAAGTAATGATCAACTGCTAAAAATTACTATTTCAAACAGTAAAATCGTGATTTTACTATTCACTTTATAATATTTACCATTTAAACATTACAATTTACTCTTTATATGGAAGAAAATACTATTTCAAACAGTAATATTCGCTATGTAAATGTCTAAAATGTTTAAGTATTCACTTTGATATTTATCATTTCGTACTTAAAAAATGATCTTATGATATGTAAAAAGTATAAAATAAAGTTAGTAAATTTCTAATACAAGCAACGTCAATATTTACAACGTAAAATGGTAAATTTTAAACGCAACGCTAAAAATCAAACTGTAATTATTGACTTGCTTGAACTGGTAAAATGTATATTTTAAAAGTATAATTTTTACTGTTTCACATGTTAAATTCTCCCAGAATGAGACCCCCTTCTCTTTCATCTGAGTTCCCTTTCTCCTCATAATATGGACTATATATTGAAATGGCAATTTTTACTGTTTGAAACTGTAATTTTTAAAGATGAAAGAGTCGTTATTTACTATCGTGACAGCTACTAATCACTTATTTTGGATATTAAATTATAAATTGTGGCTTTTATACTTTCTAAATTAAGTTCTGTAATATTTATATTTTTGCCACCCCGATGTCCGCATTACTGTTTGAAACTGTAAAAATTAACCGGAATCCGAGTGAATATTACAGTTCACTTTTTTCCGTGTATGATTAAAAAATAAATTTGAATTAAAATTTTCACACCCAATTGGCGATTTAAAACCCACCGTAGCAAAAAAAAAAAGGGCCGGGACAATAAATATTTAATCTCGAGAAAGCATTTTTTGTAGCTCACAGCTGCGCTATTGCCATTACGGGGCTGAATGTGTCATATTTATTGATTTTATAAGCCCGTCTGAGGTCTAAGTTTGCCTGAATTTATTTAAAAATTAATTTAACAAGCAACCGGGTAACACTATCCGCGTGAACAAGCATCTGTTGTTTGCCGAGTATTTTTTGTCGACCATTTTTCACCCGCAATTACTAACTCCGTAATTGTAAGTAAACTACATCAATAATGTGTCTCGTTAAAACACTGAATTTCATTTCTTGAAAACGTTAAATATTCACATTATATTCTTCCTCGAGGAACGGATAATAATTATTATTATTTAAATTATAGTATGAACTAATTGCACAGGTCGTGTGTGGAGTGTGAATTTACATGAGAATTGAATTCTGAAGAAGCGAATTTATATGAGTAATAAAAACGCGGATAATAAATTTTCGGTTTTCTATTTTCGTTCTGAGTAATAAATTTCGGAATTAATTGTTAAGTGAATAAACTTGCATATTTTATTCAGGGATTTTGGATATATATGGTATATAATACCTGTCGTATATCTTTGATGACAGATTTCATGTAGTATGTATGTTGTGTTAACAACAATATAGGACCGAGCTAACACCTAACCTAACACCTAAATAACGTACTATACTGCTTTACAAGGTTTGTCTGTTGACACAAATAAATTCCGAATTCTCCTCTAAACTATTGTATATTCATGCTGTCGGGGT